ACAGCAATTGTTGACCTTAAGTAACAAGTTGTTTAAATTTCACACATGTAAAATACATAGTATGTTTCCTAGCAGGGGACAAGACTCAGTCAATATTTTTTCAGTAACACATCTCTCAGAGCTTTACTTAACCAAATGGATATTGTCCTTGACACTAGAGCTGCAAATTGGACCTCGTTAGAGAACACATTTATTGGTCATTCCTTCTTTAAAGATAGTACTCCAACTTAGAGCTTTAACATATACCACCTATCTGAGTCACAGATTGATAAGCAAGGAAGTACATCTGGGAGAAATCCCTTGGAATTACAAGCTCTTGAAGCACAACTCTGAAATGAGTTTTAGGTACAGAATCAGCCATCTTGGTTTCAAAGTCTGAGTTCATTGTTCACTGGCTGGCAACCCTGGTGTTTCCTTTAATCTCTCCCATTTTACATTCCTCCTTTATAAATGAGGATACAAAAGCACCCATTTTAGTAGAATAAGTAGGTTTTATTCAGGAACTATTGCAATAGGAGAAAAGAGAACTCCAGCATAGCACTAGAATCCATTCTGAATCCAGTATGAACCAGTATAAACAGTGTAAAACCAGTATAAACACCAGGGATATGGAAGATTCTGGTTAAATGAACCTTATAAAATGCTTGTTCAAGGCAGGTCAGGGTGATTGGATACCAAGGGTGGGAGATGAGGAACTGGATGAGATACTGAGGGTTGTCAGATATTGAGGTAGGAGGGAGATTCTCTCTAAACTTACAACACAGTTCTTGCTACAATTGGGTAGCACAGGCCAGATACAGAGAGAAACAAGGGGATTGAAGTCTAAAGGAAAATCTGACCAATCTTCCGTCAAGGAGAATCTTTGTCAATAGTATTATGAAGTCAATAACATTGTAATATCATTTTGAGACAACTAGGGGTTAAAAGAAATTGATTCATGTTACCACTTATACTTTTGTAGGGCTTCAATGAAATAATCTAGTTAAAGTGATAGTTACTATCATCTTCATCGCCATTACCACCACCATCACCATCACTGTCATCGTCACCACCACCTCTGGATCCTCCACAACGCCCAGTACAGTGCCTTGCAGTACATGATAATAGCGGAACACTTTCCATTTGTTGTATAATTCATTCAACCCGTTGATGAATTATAGAGTTGGGATGAAATCTACCCAGATCACATATTCAAATCCTTGAAGCCAGGGTACTTAGTTCTGATTTAGAGAGGCAAGGAGAGAGTAACTTCTTAACAAGTGCCCTAGAAAACAATCTGCATGTAAACATTCCTATTATAATGCTTGGCACATCATAGTAGACATTTGATAAAAGGTCTGGAAGATAAAAAGTGTATTTTAAGATAAAAAAATGTATTTTATTACAGTTAGACACAGGATTTGTTGAAAACCTGAGACAGGAATATTGTTTTTGGATATTGCTCCTAGTGTTAAACTATGTAAAAACAAATTTTATTTTGTGTCTAATCACACAGATGCCATTATCTTCAGTAAGTGTTTTCTTAGGAAACTCAGGAATGGAAAATTCCTCCAGAGAGATGCATGGTCGGCAGGTGTTTCCACATTACTTAACTGAAGAACTCTCTGCATCAGATCTCTCTGCTGTGGGTTGAACAGCAGCTTTCAACCCAGGAAGCCCTTTAAAACCTCCCAAGGAGTCTTTTTTAAAAAAATGCCTAAGCCTAACCCCAATCTGGGTGGGCTTCACACATCAAAATTTTTAACATCTTTCTAAATGATTAGAGAGACTTCCAGTCTACTTTTTTCCCACTTATTCCTCTATGGTTCTATTCTTTCTACGTATTTATAGACGTGAGTATGTTAAAATTTCATCCCCGTCTCATGAAAATAGAAGGAAGACCAATAAAGAAGAAAGGGTTCAAGACAGAGAGAGGAAGAGAGGGCATGGGAAGTACTAGGAAATTAAACTGACCAAATTATCCTATGTCCATACAAATAGACCACAATGAATCCCATCTATAATTATAATGCACTAGTGGAAAAATAATAATAGAAAGGAGATTGGTAGAGCAAGAAAAATAGGGGGAGGGAGGAGGGGGAAAAAGAGAAGGTACTAGAGAATGAGATTGTTATGTCACTTGCATCTACGAATGTGGCATAATGAATCCCACTGTCATGTATAATGATAATGCACCAATAAAAACAGATTTTAAAAACTTCATCTGCTTTGTAACTTCTCCTTAAAAGAGACATTATTTTTAACTTTGGAAAATCATAAAACATAATAGGAATTAACTGATTTGTTCTCCTGAAATACAGAAGCTCTAAATTTTACAGAAGAATCACCAAAATTATTCTACAGTTTTATCTAAGATACTGCTGGAGTGATAACTAACAGTTTTTTTCAGTTTACATACAGCATTCATCTGTATTTTTCTTTTCTAAATTTACTCAACACAATGAATCTTGATCAATTTATATATTCCTTTGAAATTTATAAAGTGATAGCATGAGTTTCATTTAATAATAGTAATAATATAAGAGGCATAGATGTAAGAGGTAATCAAAATTGTAACATAGGTAACAAAAAATGCCTTTATTCATTATGTTGGACAGTCTTTGAATTAGGATTTTATTTGCTGGAGCTATGTATCATGGCACATCCCATCTTCAAAATGAGTGGTGTTTCAGCTTATTGAGGTATGAAATGTAAATTCAAAACCCTGTACCCTAACGCTCTTGTATGTTGTTTGTGTTGAATATTCAAATAATTCATCTGATACCATTGCAGATTCTGTGCTAACGTACTAGTCATTTCTTACAATACCCTAACCATATGTGACAATTGACGGAAGTATATAAAAGTTCTTAAGTGTCCCTAAGGGAACGGTCAAGAGCCCATCAATGAAACAAAAAAGGAAGTTTAGCTTTTAATTCCCTCTCACCACCACTATGGTTCTMATGCCAATTTTCCACCTCAGAGAAGGGCCCCTTGAGTTCAATCATGGAAGATCCTTTGAGTTCTCCTTTTCAAAATGTGAATGGTTCATCTCACAACACTTTTACATGTAGTGCATATGATATCAAGGAGTGGCTTATGGGCTTTCCTTGAATCACTTGCTTTTACTAACATCATTTGAAATTCACACTTTCTAAAACATCTCACCTTGCTAAATGGAATATAATTCTACTGATATCTGCTGTATTGTTTGATGGTGTATTAGAAACCATCTATATATGGGTACATAATAACATCCCATGTATAACAGCATATGTCAGTGTTCCTTTTATTTCTCTAGTTTAAGTACCAAGGGCTTTCAATGTTCTCTTGTATCTGCCTGGAATATATTTCCTTCTMTCATCAATCTCCTCCCCTAGCTATATTGAGATCTCGGTTGTTTTTGTTCTGAGAAACTTTGTCTGATCTTCCTCTGTTCATGATACATATATTTTTTAGCTTCACTCCAAAGTTTGCTTTTAAACTTCCTTGAGTGACTGATTACTCTCTTTCTCTATTGGAAGGCTGTTATCTCCGTGACCCACAAACTCAGCATCTGTGTTTGTGTTTGTTTATCAGTATATATCTAGAGTTCAGTCCGSTGTCTGGCTCCAATAGATGACTAATTGTTGAATGAACAGGTGAAATTAGAAACTGTGATTTATTTTTGCAATAGCTATARTTTCATTTTACTCAAGAGTTTTACAATACTTAATTTTTAAAAAGCTAATGGTTTATGCAATACTTTTAAAAATCAGTGGTTTAAGGAGAGTGAATTAATTGTACAAAATTAATAATTTTTTTTAAAGTATATGATATTAAACTGAATTTGAAAAACACAAATTGTAATACTTTTTTTCTGATACTGGGGATTAAACCCAGGGGCTTATATGTGCTAGGCAGACACTGAGCTACATCTCCAGCCATATATGTATATATTTTTAATTTTACTTTGAGATAGGTTCTCTTTAAGTCATTGAGGCTGGTCTCAAACTTGAGAAACTCCTGCCTTGGCCTCCTGAGAAGCTGGGATTGCAGTCATGTGCCACCTTGCCTGGCTCATAAATTGTAATTTTAATAAAAGCTGTCTGTAATCTCACTTTATCARTACAGCAGCTATTTTCATTTCATTAAAATACACAGTCCTTAAGCTGAATTGATGTCGGAACTTGAGTATTTAAGTCTCATTGGTCTACCTGTCCTCATTTCTGAGGATGGACTGCTTCCTAGACTGCTGGAAATCAGGATTTTCAAGAAAAGKTCCTATATCCCTTGGTATCTGAAAAACCAGTGCCCTCTAGAGGCGAAAGTGTTGTGCAGTGTTCACATAAAACAGCCTTAGGCCTTGCTATCTGTCTACTAAGTCACATAGGAACTCCACCTACAGACTCAGGAGCCACATTCAGAAGTAGCATCCATCTTATTTAAGACTCTCAGTCAGTAAGATCTTAATTGAAATCATAGGAACTGTTTTCTCATATGACTTTTTACAAGACAGTTTGGCCATCATTTTAACAAGTGATTCAACTACTGTGACTCCATGCCTTCTGAAGAAGCTTAGGGTACAATGTACTGATAAGAAAATACTTGGATTTATACAGAGAACAATTTACATGTCCCCCTTATGAATGTTGCATGGTCTTTCCAGCAATTATAAATGAACTGACTAGTCCTGGCCTTAGATCAAAACMGAATAAATCAATGAATAAATAAGTAAAGAAAATTTCAAAGACCTAACTCTATGGGTCAAGAGATTAGCTTGTTTTCCTAATGGAAAGTCCTTTTAGAGACAGGCACTGGCTGACAAAGAATGAAGAGTGGGTGTAGTATATATTTTGGTATCTCTAGATGCCTTGTAATACCAAACTGTACCGTCATGCATGTTTTATTCTCTCTTTGTTATGGTTTCCAGAGGGATAACCAATTGGCTGATAGAGTAGCTGCCGAAAAGTAACCTGACTCCACTGACCTACTGGACTCCTGCTTGGGAATGATGGAAAGGAGCAGCTGTTTGCTCTGAACAGTAGAACAGGTAGGGAACAGCTCTTTTCGTGGTTGCCTTCTTTTATTTCTCTGCACGCCTACTTTCAGAATAGTTGAAAACAACAAGTTGTTCCTGTTGGAGAACTGAATTGGAGTCATAGGAACAGGTACAGTGGGTTATTTGTAACAATTCCAAATTGCCTCATCTTCAGGACTGTTTATATACATACTAGATCGAAAAAAAAAWTTTTTTTTTCCAAATTGCATATACGTAATCATGTTGGGGAGAGTGATTACTTTTAACACAGGATTAACCTTTTGGATGTTTTTGGCTTTAAGACAAATTATCTGGATTATGGGGATTTTGCTCCACTAAACAGATTTCTATAAAGGAATTGGAGAAGTAGCAATGAAATGGTAACGCATGTGTCCCCAGTGACAACAGTTGGAAGTGTGTTTGCTGTGTTTAATGAGTTAATAGCCCCTGCCCACATTCATGTTCTCTGTTATGAAGGGACCCTGGCAAGAAATGCATAGCTTGATTTTTTTTTAATTTTTCAAAATTCACATAACAGACATAAGTGAAACTTCTTTTGCTTTGAAGGGAAATTTTTATTTCAACATAAAATTGCATAGAAACAGGGGAGCAGCATAGAGCTCAGTAGTGACTCTATAGTGGCTAATGCTTTAAGAAATTGTGATATTAATGGCATTATAATTCAGCTAAAGAGTAATCTAAGCTCAGAAGATAAAGTATCATGTACTGGATGATTAAAATTAAATTACTTAATGACTTTGCATGACAACATTTTCCCGTTGGATGGCTTGTAGATGAAAGAYCATGAATAAATAATAAAGACTTGAATTTTACATAAGAATATTAGAATTACAAAGACTATAGAAATAGAATGAATCAAGGATATTTTCTGTAAGGAATTAAATAATGTTATGGTTTCATGATTTATATAAGCTTATTTGGGAAGCATTTTTACAAGATGTTTTGACTACTACTCTGTAGTGAGCATCTGAGGCGTAAGATCTTTGTTTTCATACTTTAAGCATTTGAACATATTATTCTATTGAATCTGAAGCCAAATGTCATGTAAATCAATAATATATGAGAAGTCTGGCTTCTAGCTCAACAAGGAGATAGAAAAAGTATGTCATTGCTACTTGATGCACAAAGCAGCTTTACAGTCTTTTCCTTTCTGTTGCAGTCTATACAGTCAGCCAACTATTGATCATCTATCTTTTTCTTAAGTTTCAATATAATGCAAATGGACTTTTTTGAAAGAACCTTAATTAAGAGATATTATCTGTCTAAAAAGAAACCTTTGGGGAATAGGGCAGAGTAGACAATAAATACAGTAAGTGCTCCATACCACCCATTGTTAGTATTGATCAATTCACACCACAAAGCAACCAACAGCTACTGGATTTCACTTAACAGGAATAAATTATAATGTGATTAGAATTGAGGAGAGTTACAAAGGATTGAACCCAGGGGTGTTTAACCACTGAGCCACATCTTCAGCCCTTAGGATTTTTAATTTCGAGACAGGGTCTCACTGAATTGCTTAGGGCCTCACTAAATTGCTGAGGCTGGCCTTAAACTTGTGATCCTCCTGTCTCAGCTTCCCAAGCCACTGGGATTTCAGGCCTGTGCCACCACACCCAGTGTGTAATTAGATTTTTAAGTGAAGTGATGATTTGAAAAATATATATAAACCAGAGAAATAGCTTGTTACCCTACCATTTTGTGAGTTTCTGTGTATGAAACTAAGATGTAGAATCTGCCTTTCCCCACCCCCCCCCCCCATTGGAAAGAGTGTGTAGAAACATGGGTCTGGGGTAGGGAAGCATGAGCCCCAGGATGCTTCCAGGATGATTTTCTAGAAAGGCTTAGGAATAGCCCCCAACTGAGACTATCTCCCTTGTTCCATACTTGGGATAATTTTGAAGGAGGCAGACTTTCAAATGGTAAGCAGCTATGTGCTGGTGCTCACCATGGTTCCAGAGAACTGCCTTAATCACAATTGGAAAGCAATCTACTCTCTAGGAATCTCAGTGTCTTCTTGAAGACTATGAATGCTAATGGCCGACAGTTTTGCTCACAGATATTGGTGAACCTAGTAAAAGTGATACCTAATGCCAAATCTAATATATCTCTTCCCATCACTCCCTAGTCAAAAGGGAAAATAAGTAAAAATCAGAAGTCCTGGAATGGAGAGGGAAGAGTGTATTCTTTTCGTAACAGGAACAAGTTTAGCATAGGCTAGAAGGCCTCAGGGCTATGGGCACTGTGGTTTYCATAGTCCTGAGAGTTGTCACAAGGCTCTTTAGAGATGCTTCAGGCAGTTTTGACACAGTGGCAAATCTTCATTCCTATGTGACTTAAAAATTGTACTCTTAGCAGCAGTTTCAAAATTTTTGTGTAACCCATGCATTCTTAACTATCCTCTCTCTTAACTCTCCTTTGGGAACTCTCTTTGTCTATATGTAAGTTCAGTGGCCCCACTGAGGGAGGAAACTTGCACTTGTAGCCCTGAGATCCCATTGGACCTTCATATGCCCCCTCACCCTAGACACAGCAGCAGGGGGCAAAGGGCCCCCTTTAACCTGGAGAGAGAAACAGGGCAAGGCTGCTTTGGTTTAGTGTCATCACCATTCAGATTTCTTATGAGGATCAAATGAAATTACTGGCTGTGAGAAATGATGAGTGAATTGTAAGCAAGAATTCCGTATGGCACACTAGCAAGAATTTAGGCTTTAGAATTAGGCAGATCTGAATTCAAGAGTTCCCTGTGTTAATCTGAGCAAATAATTTTTTTTTCTTCAGTTGGACTCAATTTCCTCAGTTATAAAATAGAAGAGCAATACCTAGGGGCAAATCCTTGTTGCCTCTTAGGGGACTACCAGGTAGTTTTCTTCTAAGAGCCTGCATAGAACTGGGAATGTGGCTCAGTGATAGAATGCTTGCCTGGCATGCMTAAGGCCTTGGGTTTGATTCCTAGCACTGAAAAGAAAAAAAAAAAAATCCTGCATAAGGTGGGAGTAATCAACATATCATGAACTTATTGTGATGGAAACAGTAAGACTCTCTGGGCCTCAGCTGACTTGAGCAGACCCAGAGAGCAGGCCTTGCTGAAGGCCAGACTCCCTCTAACTGTGTTCCAGGATGATGCATAAAATCTAGGTATTAATTTATCATTCTTATAAGGAAAAGGGCAAGGGCAGACCTCAGGGAAAGGTAGATCATCATTGGAGTGGTCAAGACTCAATTGGGACCTGGATCCTTGGGCTCTGCCCCTCAGTTGTGCTTCATTGGCCCAACCAGCATTTGCCTCTGCATTTGCTTTTCTCTTCATGTTCCCATCTAATCACTCTTTTGAATAACAACACAAGAAAAATCTGCTAACTCTACATTTAGGCAGTTATCAACTTCCATCCATTGTGCAGGCCTAGGAGACATTTATCTCTTTAGAATGACTGTAAGATAGCTCTTCCCAGATCCACTGACTTCCCTGTTCAACTTTCAGAAAGCAATCTGTTTCTCTGAACTCCTGGGGGGTCCCTTCCTGATGCCCTCAAGTGTTGATATCAGGATTAAGTGATATGACACAGACCTGTGCTCAGCAAGTGCTAGCTAGTTCCCTGTTTACCTTCCTTTTCATGTAGTATACTAACGTTAAGACCATCTGCCACTGGGATTATGAAGATCAATACAAAAATAGATTTATAGTCCTTAAGGACCTCAGAGTACGGTCGTGAAGAGGGACATGTGACTGGGCATAACGCCACTGTTCCCAGGCCATGAGCTCTGGGGATAAATGAGGGCTCATTGCTTTTCATGCTATTCTGCTGATAGATCTCACCTGGGCAACCACAGAGCTCTACTCCCTGCAAAATTCCCCTGAAGATGTGCCAAGGCTAAGGGAGACTTGCAGAGAGGGGCTTGGGTGTCCACCTTTCACCCCCATTGTCTCTATGAGCATCAGTCCCCATTTTTATTTGGATCATTTTAAAAAAATCTATTTGTTCCTTTTAGATATACATGACAGTAGAGTGTATTTTAATTCTTTTTTTTTAAGAGAGAGTGAGAGAATTTTTAATATTCATTTTCTAGTTCTTGGCGGACACAACATCTTTGTTGGTATGTGGTGCTGAGGATCGAACCCGGGCCGCACGCATGCCAGGCGAGCGCGCTACCGCTTGAGCCACATCCCCAGCCCAGTAGAGTGTATTTTGACATACACATATAGATCATTATTTTCTTAATGATTTTCTTAATCTATCCGACTTTAAGCTTCTCACTCCCTCCAACCCTCACCCTTTCTGCCCCTTGTGGGTACTAAGTCTTTCTTACATTGGGATTCCGAAGCTTCCAAAGATTCCAGACATTTCTGAGCATCCCTAGGAATGTTGTAAAAGTTTTCAGAAGTGACTGTGGGCCATCTGAGACTATCCCTTCTTAGCAGGCCCTGGGGGAGGAGCAGCAGTGTCCCCTGACTGTCACATGCTCTGCCTCTGCTTCCTGCGTGGGAAAATGCTGGCCTGAACCTGCCTGGGTGCTGATTTTCCCTGTGATGAGGGTTCAAAGTTCCAAACCTTTGTTCCCTTTATCCCTTAACATGAAAACATCTCTTTGGTCTTTAGCCTCTCTCCCCAGAGGAGCTTAAAAGCATGTTCTTGGCCAGGACAGGGACCAGTGGCCATTGTCTGGTCTAGACTCCTCTCATCCTCTCTCTCAGCTAGATTCTCTCTCCTCTTTCAGCCTCCAAACCCAGAAGTGTCCTCTTCCATTGTGGTCTGTGCAAATAAATGAACAAAAAAGTCACTGGGTCCAAGTCCATATGGGTCCAAAATTATACCTGGATGTAAGGACCAAAATAGAAAAAGATTCACCAAGTTCTACAAAGACGGATCATAGTATTATTAGAAGTTCAGACTTTACCTTTTCTGTGAAGTTCTCTCTCACTTAAAATCTACTCTTAGCAATTTTTAAGACTATAATTCATGATTATCAACTCTAGTTACCATATTTAGATTTATTAAAATTACCTTTCCAGTCTAACTAACATTTTATATCCTCTGTCCAACGTCTCTCTGATCCCCCACTTCCACTCCAGCATAACTATTATTCTACTCTGATTCTGAGTATAAGCTTTTTTGATCCCACGTGTAAATAAAATCACATGGTGATTATTATTCTGTGTCTGGTTTATTTTATTTAGTATAATGTCCTCTAAGGCTCATTCATGCTTTTYCAAATGACAAGATTATTTCTTTTGTAAAACTGAATGGAGCCTGGTGTGAAGCGCATGCTGTAATCCCAGCAGCTCAGGAGGCTGGAGCAGGAGGATCACAAGTTCATCGCCAACCTCAGCAACTTAGCAGGACCTAAGCAACTTGGCAAGATCCTGTCTCTACATAAAATATTAAAAAGGTTGAGGATGTGGCTCAGTGGTTAAGCACCCTGGAGTTCAATCTCCAATACAAAAAAAAAACAAAACAAAAAAAAAACAAATCCATTGTGTATTTATACAGCACATCATCTTATTCCAATCATCCATTGATAGACACTTAGGTTGATTCTCTACCTTTGTGTTATGGATAGTGCTGCAGTGAACATGAGAGTGCAGATATTTCTTTGACATACTGATTTCATTTCTTTGTACTTAAGCTCAGAAGTGGGATTTGTTGGTACACTCTTAGTATGGCCAACCAATGACTTTGGGGATCTTGCCACCCAGTAAAGGAGCTAGCAGGCTCACTATGATCCTGTGCTTGTCCACCAAGCCACACAGAAGCCCTAATATTCCAAATCCTATTAATTCATGACATGTGGTATGACTTGCAGAGAAACCTGTTGGCTACCTGACTTACTGGGAAACATTAGGTGGATATGTGGGGCAGAAAATTATTAGTATCTTGAGTGTGTGTGTGTCGGGGGGGATGGGGGCAGAGGAGAGGTGACTGGGAAGGAAGTAGGAAGGTATCAGTTAATCAGGCAATTTTTCCTTCAGTTGTGAATAGTGAGTGAATAAGGCTATAGTTCCAAGATAGGGCTGARCTATGGGGTTAGGATGACGTAGACCCAATTTGAATTGCTTACTCCCCAGGAAAATTCAGATGAGAATGGGTGAGAAAAATCAGGCAGAGCAGAGGTAAATAAGTGCAGCCATTTACCGAGTGGCTGCCAGTCAGTGTGTGTGTCTGTTTGGTTTTACAGTGTGGTGGGTAGAATCAGGGTTCCTTCTCCTCTGTCCTTATGTGAACCAAGGTTTCCTGGCTTTTATGGGAGTGGACAATGTGCCATGTCACATGGCAAGCCCTTGACCTTGCACAGTTGCAGCCATGGCTGGCTAGTTCTGTCCTCAGAGCCTTCAGGGCTGCAGAGGTTTTGCCTGGTGCCTGACTCCCTTTACAAGTGCCTTCCTTTTCTTAAACTTGAAGGAAGCTGAAGTCTCACAAACACATTCTCAAGTTCTGGATATTGTTCTCTTTAATTGAATTCCTTAGGACCACCAGCCCTTGTTATACCATTTGGKGATTTCCAAGGACTCTAAGACCACCTGGCCCACCAGGTGACATCCTGTGGCCTCTACCCTTGCCCATGTTGATGTTTATAACCTAGTGGGAGCAGGGCTGGGCGGTTTGTTCTAACCATGCTTATCCACCATTGGGATGTGCATGCCCAGCTCTTCTGATGCACCATTGTCAATCAGGGATTCCTTGTGCTGCCCATGAACATCTCCAAAGCCTTGACACCATCTCCTTAGCCCTGGTATATTGATTCATTCACATCCATTCTCTCTTATAGCAGTTGCTGCACAAGCCCAAAGCCAAGAGATGGACAATGATTTTCAAAGAACTTGGGTCAGATGAGCTTGCTGTCTTCGGTAGTTTTCGTTTGTAGTTGTTTCAGTTTTGCTCTTATGATAAAATATTACTTTAGTCAGATTTTTTTTCCTGCTGTGACTAAGAGATTTGAACAGAACAATTGTGGAGAAGGAAAAGTTTATTTAGAGGCTCAGAGTTTCAGAGGTCTGAATCCATAGACAGCAGACTCCATTCCTCGGGGCTCAAGGTGAGGTCAAGCATCATGGCAGAAGAGTGTGGCAGAGGGAAGCAGCTCACTTGTGATCAGAAAGCAGAAAGAGTTAGATCTCCACTTGCCAAATATGAATATATACCCCAAAGCCATGAACCCAATGCCCTACCTCCTCCAGCCACACCCCACCTGACTTCAGTCACCACTCAATTAATCCCATCAGTTGATTATTAACTTTGCTGATTGGCTTATGGCTCTCATACCCAATCATTTCTCCTCTAAACCTTCTTGCATTGTCTCACACATGAGTTTTTGGGGACACCTCACATCCAAATCATAACAAATATACATAACAAAATTTACCCTGATAACCATTTTAAGTGTGTAATTCAATGACATTGAGTACATTCCCCTTATTATCTCACCATCACCACCAATTATTTCCAGAAATTTTCATCATTCCAATCAGAAGCCCTGGAACCTAGTAAGCAACAACTTCCCATTTCCCACTCTTCCCAGCCCCTATCATCTTCTATTCTACTCTTTGTCTCTATGAATTTGCCTGTTCTGGGTACCTCCGATGAATGGAATGAAACTATATTTATCATTTTGTGACTGACTTCCTTCATTTAGAATAATATTTTCAAGGTTTGTTTATGTTGTAGTATGCGTTAGAGTTCCACTTTATTTTCACGTCTCAATAATTATTCCATTCTATGAATACATGACATTTTGTTCATTTGTTCACTTGTGGGGATGAACACTGAGTTGTTTGTACCCTTTAACTTTTATGCTTACTGCTGATACATACACTGTTGTATACACATATATATTAACTCATTTAATTGTTGCAACACTCCATGAGTTTACGGTACATTTTCATCTCCAATTTACAGATGAGGAAGCACATGGAGCAAAAAATGGCAAGGCCAATCTTCTACCCTAGAGGGTTGACTACAGTGCACTATGTGTTGCCTTTAATGAAAGTAAATTTCCATGAGATTGCTATGTCCTGGATACATTACATGCATTATTTATATACCCTTAAGATATTGTTATGTGGGGAACTTTAATCTTTACATTATTACAGGTGAATATATTAATGCTCAGAGAATTTAACTTGTGAATACATTCTGTATTTTTGTTTTTGGTGATGGGAGTTGAAGCCAGGGCCTTGCACATGCTAGGTAAGCAGTCTACCACTGAGCCATACCCCGAGCCCCATGTAGAGAATACAGAAATGCCAAATCCCCCCTGACCAGATCTGCTTGCTTCCTGAGTCCCCCAGAGCCATGATGCACAGGCAAATGACTCCTTGGGAATTGATAGCCCAACCCTTTCTGGATAGACCAAAGGAAAAGGAGTCAGCTCAGGTACAGAACCAAGGGGTGTTGTAGGGTAGAGGTGTAGACCTCTGGGATTCCACAGCTCCAGCTGCAGAGAATTTTTAACATAGGTCCTAGAGGAGGACAGGAATTTCTTCCTGGTACTTAAAAAGTTTTGTTTTTATTTTTCAAACTCTTGATCAATGGTTAGACGAATCAAGTTGGAATAAAAAGAAAGATTCTTTCCATTCCTGGCTAAGTTTGGAAAATATAGCAAGAGAGAGAGAGAGAGAGAGAGAGAGAGAGAGAGAGAGAGAGAGAGAGAGATTATGAAAATTCTACCCAAACAAAGCAAAACAAAATTCCTACATCTGCAAAATCTGTGAAGACTGATTCTCAACACTTCTAAATCAGCTAGATGTTTAGGTAACATAACATTTTGCTTCTATATAACCACGTAGACAAAGCTGTATTTTATTTGTGTGGCTGTCTGTATCCTTTGATACCTGACTTTTTTTTTTTTTTTTTGGCTCTCTTAACACTTTTCTCCCCTCCTTTTGCAGGTAGCACACAAACATACTTCAGATTGTCATTTCACAAAAGGTTAAGAATGAACTGTCTTCCCTTTCAGAGAGAGAAATCCAGTGTGCATGACCTTCATGACTATTTTTTCCCTCTGCTTTTGCAGCTTGAGAATATGGCATGTAACATACCTAACCAAAGACAGCGGACTTTGTCGACAAATGGAGAAGCTCTATATGAAATTCTTGGTTTGCCCAAGGGAGCATCAAATGAAGAAATTAAGAAAACCTACAGGTACAGAGGAAATTCAATGGTGACATTTCCTGTGCCACTAGTGATAGCAATTTTGTGACTAGCAAGTGGCTCCAATTAAGACATAAGCTTCTTGCCAAGACCAGGTAATCTGAATTTTGGACCCCATGGTGCCTGCTCTGCAACATAGACAGGAATAGACAGGCATGACAATGATTTCAAGGAAGAATTATCTGGTGATAACCAAGCCTTAGGAAAGGGCAGCCAGAATTCTCATCCTACAACTGAGAGAAAGAGGAGGACCAACTACAACCAATAGCTGCGATTAACCCATGTGATATAGCATTGCTGAATCTGGTGGAGGGCTTTCTTTCTTTCTTTCTTTTTTAATAAAAGGGAGTTTGTTAAAATTACTATATTATAAGCTATACTATTCAAGACCTCAGTTTTGATTTTTCATATCTAATCTAATTCTATGTTAGATACTTTTAGGAAAATAGAAATATCCTTTTATTTAAAGCTCCAAGGAATAAAAAAAATGAGTACAAAATCAATTTGCTTATTGTGAAAAATTTGCAAATTACCAAAAATGAAAACAGTGATATTTATTCATAATTCTATCATAAAAATAATAATTATTGATATTTTTATTTGTCTTTTTTTCTGTTGAGATAGGATGCTTAAAAATTAAATTGAATTCATCTATATTTTCCAACTATCTTTTTATAGGTCCTTCAGTGAAAATATCATGAAGTCATTACATATTATGATTGTTAAAGCTGTATTAGTGCAGTACGGTTATACATAATAATGGGGTTCATTTTGACATGATCATACATGCACGGAATATAATTTACCCTATTTCAGCCCCACAGTTCCTCTTTCTTTCCTTCACCCTCTTCTCCTGCAGCCTATAGTTATTCTCCAGTTCATATAATCATTTTATGAGCTATTATTGAAGCTGTAAGTTATTTTAATTTTACCCTATATTTTATATCCTTTTGCACCAATCATGATGCATGTTTCCAATTATTTCTTTATTTGGAAATAAAGTAGACCTTTATAGGAAGTTACTTTTTGATTTGGTCTTGAATTAGATTTTTAATTTTAAAATTTTAATTTTAATTTTTTTAAATTTTAAAATTGGATTTTTTAATGTTATGGAAGTTTAAATATTTTTGAATAGTCAAATTTGTTAGTCATTTCCTTTATGGTTTTTGTTTTTTCCTGTCACGTTAAAAAGCCTCTCTCAATTACAATATTTATTCCTATTTTATTCTAGTGCATTTATGATTTTGCTCTTACACTACAGTTTTGATCCATCTGGAGTTTATTTTGGCATAAGGAATAATGGTAGGAGTCCTTATTAAATAAGGTTGTTTTTTTTTTCTCAAATCGCCAGCCCACCAATATTTATTAAATTTTCCTTTGTTATCTACTAATGGAAAATTCTTTGGCCTTGTATGGTGCTTCACCACATGGTGAACTATGCAACCTGAAATGCCTTCAAGAAGCTTGTATTAAAGAATAAATGATACCAGTGAAAACTATTATTTGTACCTAAATAGTTTTGTGAAAGTGGTAGAGTCTGTAAATATCAGTCTTCTGATTCAGAGAAAAGTCTTTGCTGTTTCATTTTTCACTAGAACTATCTAGAAGGAGCRTTCTGGGAATGCTCAGCCCCTATTGGGGCACATTCTTGTCTGAAGGTCACTAAATTTGACTCTTAAGGATTCAGGCTGTGCTATTGTGCTAGGGCTTATGGATGGGTATCAGAGCAATTGCATTGTAGGTTCAATATCCTCAAAAATGTCCCCCAAATGAGGATAAAAAAGTTTTGTCCAACTACCTTGTAATTCTTAAAACTCATTTTACTTTACAAATGTGCCTTTTAATTGCCTTTATTAATTTTGGAAGCTAAAATTTCAGRTCATATCCTAATTAAGGCATTAATTATGCTGACTTGTTTACAAGTTTAATAATTACAACACAAAGAAGTATTTTCATGTAACCAGTGTCTTCCTATTAATTTTGTTTTAATGTCATACAAATATTATTTTTTCAGCTGATTAGGGTACTAGTATGCTGCTAAAAGCATCTACTTCTATCCAAATTGCAAATTTGTATTCTGCAAGTTATTCAAAATGTATGAGCAAGCAGCAAATCCACTGAGAATATTATTCTTATATTCAGAGATCTGGATCAAAGTAGTGACAGCATAGTGAAATTAAAAGTCAATGAAATTTAATACAGTTACCAACTGTTGAATCCATGTGCTGCATGCCCTCTGATATAATTTTTAGTTGTCCTCTTGAAAACAATGTTGAGTTAGGAGGCTGCTTCTTTTACATTTTATTTTTATTTTTGAATAAGTAATATATTCACTTGATTAAAATGAGAACGTACATATAGGTACACACAAAAAAAGGCCTCCCATTTACCTCTTATCCCCTAGGTCACTTCCTGGGGGTGGTGGGGGGGGGAGTATTATCACTTCCTTGTGGACCCTTAGAGATCTTATGCTCAGAGGAGCATAAATGGAGAATTTCCAGTCTAGGCAAGACTGCATAGACTTGTCCTTCCCTGCTAAGCATCACTAAAGTCCTTGAAAATAACACAATAAACAATCAAAAGGGAAGTCTGAAAGGCAKAAAGAGGGAGGCAGATTGGTTAGGGACCTCAGGAGCAAAGGGAGACAACAGCAGCAAAGCATCTTATGATTCCTCCATCCTCACCCATCAGGAGGTAACCCAGGTCCACTTTTTCCCAACATCCAATCTAGCAACAGAAGGGATTCAGTCCTGCCCAAACCACCAGACAATCCTTGCAGATACAGCAAGAAATGCCACCTGAAGTCCCCCTAACAATAATGGGCCAGGGGGAGTACTTTTCTTTCTCATCAGCCTGAGAGTCCCACATAGAGACCCCACTTGACAGAGAACATTAGAAAGGRAGAACCCATTGCAACAGGAATCCAGCCCAGAAAGTGCTTTTTGTCCCTGCAGGCTAGGTCTCCCTTCACCTTAAAGCACCCAACTAGGTGAAATTCCTTTCAGCTCCTCAACTAAATGGGAGACAATCTCAGGAACTGGCAGGACAATAACAAAGATTCAACAATTTATAAAATTGACTTCCTCAATGGAGAGGAGAAACAGAATGGAACTGAAAGAATACTCAAAGAATTGGTGGCTGACAATTTCCACAATTTGACAAATGATATAAACTTGCAGATTCAAGAAGTTGAGTGAATTCTAATAGGATAAACCCAAAGAAATCCATTTCAAATCCAATATAATTTAAAACTTCTGAAAACTAAAAACAAAAAAAATCTGGGAAGCATTCAGAGAGAAATAACACGTTACCTATTGGGTAACACCAACTTGAATCACAGCATATATTTTATCTGAAGCAACTGAGGACCCTGGCGATTTTTTTTTTTTTTTTTTTTTTTTTTTTGCTAAAAGAATAGAACTGTCAAGTACAACTTCAGTGTCTGGGGAAACTATATTGCAGGAATCAAGGATAAATAAATTCTCAGGTAAAGGAAATCTGAATATGTCACAAGAAAATCTACTCTTACAGAATGGCTTAATGAAGTTATTTGAAAGAATGGAAATGATAAGCTTACATTATTAGGAAGAAAGAACAATGCAGAAATATGGGTAAATACAAAAGACTATCATTTTCATGAGTTTTCTTAAGTATACATGATGATTGGTGCAAAAATTATACCACCATCTGATACTCAAGAGAATGATATTTAGAAGTGGAAAGATAAAGAGACCTAACTGGAAGTACAAATGTGAAAACATAAATCCAATAGACCATGATAAGCTTCTCTCTCTCTCTCTCTCTCTCTCTCTCTCTCTCTCTCTCTCTCTCTCACACACACACACACACACACACACACACACAAATACTCAATTCACAGAGCTATACAAACTAATACTTTGACATAGTACAAATAAGTAAAAATTAAATCCTAAACAACCCACAGGAAGGACAAGGAAGGGAAAACAGAGAAATGAGAAACAGAAAACAAAAATAATGGCAGCCTTAAGACATAAGTATATTCAATGTAAGTGGTCTAAACATATATTTCTTTTCTTATACAAATGGTGGTGTGTTATGCCTCCTATCTTATATATTATGCAACACATTATAGAATGATCAATATGTGGAAAGTTTCTTCATTCTTTCATACTGCCAATGTCATAGTCCATGACATGGCTGTCCCATGATTTAATCAGTTTCATGTTGTTAGATATTTAGTCTGTTTCCCTTCAAGGCTGTCTTTGTAAACCAGTTTTGAGCTTCTTAGAGAGGGAAATCCCTCTGCCCCAGAAAGGTAAGTAGAGGAAGAGTGAGGAAAGATTTCAACTCCTGTTTACTTTCTAGTTTTTGTATGTCCCAATCCCAATCCTGGCACAAGATCCCAAGACTCAGAGGAATCCTATGCTCACCCATGTCTGACTAGCTCTATTTCTAATCAGAAGTCTGGAATCACAACCCCCCTCCCCTGCCACTGAGCAAGGGTGTGGGGTCTAAATCTGTGAAAAGGAAAAGGGTCAGTGTTCTCTAAGAGTATAAAGTTGGGAAAGATATTATCAGCATCTCTAGTTCTTTATTTCTTTAGATAATGATCATAAATAGCAGCTTCAAAGACCTGTCTCAGTCTCTTCTGTATCTATTTATGAATCTTTATCATGGAGTCTATAAAGCATCTTTTTCCTACATTTTCTGAAACTTGACCATGCTTCTTCATAAAGCAGCTGATATATTGGAGTCCCCTGCTACCTCAAAGAACAGCAGGGAAAAGTGACAGGAGGAAGGCTTTTACTATGTCAGTCTATCAGGAACTAAAGTTCTTATCTCATTGAGATTCTGTAAAAAGAAATGAGATCACTTTTTTTTTTCCAAGATATGTAGAGCCCCCGTGGAACAACACAATGAAAATACCACTCACTATTGCAATTGAAAAAATATCCCCTCATCCTCAGAGTCTAAAATTATCCTGCCATTTGATACTACTGTTAAAAAAA